AATTCACTTTTTTCTACTTTCACTTCAGTTGTTCAAACAGGCTAAGAAAGTCCCCAACAAAACAAAGTACGCTGCAGCCTCCACGGGAGGTTTCAAGGAGCCTGTTTTTCCCCATTATTAAAATTCTCTTGGCAGTATTTTTGATCAGTTTATTTCAATATTAAGACACATAAAACAACACATATGTATTCCTTTCCAACTGTAACTCATTGGTCCAGAAAACATTTAATCTCTCAGAAATCTAAAGTTAAAAAAACAATCTCTAATTAGTTTATGAAGGCCTTGCCCACTTGTCATTAAAATGTCAAGTATAGCTATCACAATTACCCGAAAAAGCCCCCTCAAAACCACAAAACATTTTGAGACTTCTGTATGTGCCACTTCTCACCATCACTTTAATTCCACACTACAGGAATGACTATGCTCTCCTAAATCCTGGTGAAAATGAAGTCTCTGCATCTAAGCTGAAATCCCTTTTTTAATTCCAGAGCAAGATCTATTTTACTTTACAAGCTATAGGAAATTACTCATCTAACTAGTAAATCTTCAGCATCCTCGACATCAGACAACTGAGTAAGCGCTCTTAAAAAAATGAATTAAAAAAGAAGGCAAAAGGAAATCTCAGGTCACTTATCTGTAAATTTACACACACACACGTGTTCATGCCTTCGCATTCTGTACATCACCTATAGGAAATCAAACACTTCTACCAGGATTTTGTAAGTAAGTTTAAATCCCAGCTCAACAAGGTACTTCACCAGATGCCCAGCTTTTAAGAGCAAAACGTCCCACTGCTCAGCGCCATGTGGTTCAATGCATCGCTGCAGCAAAGCTTTAAAAATAACTGCTAACACATGGAACAGTAAGAAACGTGTCAAGCCATTTGACATCACAAAACTGAATAAAAAAGCACATCATTATTTTTTTTAGCACATTAGAACACCTCGACAAGCAGCCTAGAAAAGATCATTTTCTGCAAAAACACAAAGGGGAAGAATTTTTCCAGGAGGTTGGGCAGGGCACAACCAAAATCTGGTTTGCTTCCTATGGGACAGCACAGCTTCCGTGCATACGCAGCTTCTTCTGTGACACAGTACAGAAAATGTTTGCTAATGTATCATTTGGGGTGCACGTTCGAATTAACAAAATGGAAATAATTAAGGCTTCTAGTGGTGGACAATTCAAATACAATTTTTGAGGCTTTTTTACTCTTTCAAGGCAATAAAGAAAACCTAACGACCCTTTTCCATAGCATGGGTGGGGAATGAGAAATCTCACGCTAAGGCGACTTCAAAACACAAACTCTTCCTCAAATCCACAGGTGACGCCATCAGAGAAAGCAGCTCCCGCAGGAAGCATCCACATCTACCAGCTTCCCCACCTCAGGCCCCTGTGCAACCTCTGAGAGGCCACAAAATACACCAGATAAAGCCCTCTTTCAGAGAATACAGGTTATTTTTACCGTGTTCTTTTTGGTCTTCTCTTCTAAATGACTCCTTTGCAGCTGCCATTACAAATCCGCTGTAAAGGCCTCCGAATATACCTTTAAAGCAAAGCTTAGCTGAGATCCAATGCAACAAACTCCGAATCTTTATGAAATAAAGGCTTTTTTCCTTTTTTAAAACCACCTGCAGAGCATCTTTCCTCACGTTATCGCCCAAGAAAACCATCTCCATTTAACCAAAGTTGCATTTACTTTGCACAGCTCTCTGAAAACCACAAGGAACGGAGCCCAAACTTCTCCTTTGCCGCCTTTCTGCTCGTTTTTCACAGCACCTGAAGGACGGTGCCACACATAAAAATTCTCACAAGTGTTTAACACCCACGAGTTTCCACGGACTCCAGCGTTTGTCCCCAAACATTCAGAGGAGCGTGGGTGCCAGACCCACCTCCCTCAGCAAACACAACTTGTTTTGCCTTTTCCACCCTGCCACGCAGGAGACAGACAGGAGGAGACTTGAGTGACTTCAAGATGTACAATTTCAGAAGAATTCAGTGTCATAAAGACCTTAATAATTTCACAGTATGACAAAATCGGCCATTTCTGCTTATAATAAAGCCATAAGAGGATCTCTATTTTGCTAAAATCTCTGAGAAGTACTATGGAAATTGCAAGAAGTAATTCTTCTTCAGACAATAACAAACCATCCTTAGTTGTTCCAGATAAATCCCACTCTAGAAATGAAAAATATACAGGGAATTTGGTAAATCAATCTGGGGATGACACGGCCAGAATTTACCACCCAGGGTATGGAGATGCAAATAAATTTCTGCCTGGTCTGGGTATATGAAACCTGAATATATTGCACAGCAAGTAGGATGACCTTACCAGTAAAAAGGAACCGAGGTAGCTTTCACTTACCACAAGGTATGAGGCATGAACAATTTACATTGCTAAATTCAAAATGTGTTAAAAATTTAACAGAAAAGTCCACTTGTGTTTTAAAAGACTTCAAGGCCAGGTTGGGTTTTGCTTTACAAAGAAAAGATATGGTTAAATGTTTATTAATATCTAACTCACTGCTCAGAAACATGTGAAACTCTTGTCTGAACCTTCAAAATGAAATATACTATCCATCAGATTCCATCACTTGCTCTATTGAATTTGAATTTGCTGTATTAATAAGGAAAAGAAAAGTTTATTTCCCTTTCCTCCCAGAGTATCATCTAGTTTTCCATTACTACAACTAGAAATTGCCAAGAAAATGAAATGCTAAAGCAGAGCAGATGCTGCTTATCTTCTGATTAAATCTTAAAACTTTGTTCCAGTGGGATCATATTTAGTCCTCTCAAATTCAGAACAGTATTTCATCCTGTCTCGACATCGCAACAATGACATTTTAAAAATATTACCAGTTTCTTGGATTCCCTTCTATCTATTCTGCAATGAGCAAAGGAGCACCAGAAGAGATTTATTTTTTTTTCTCCTGCTTGGAATTTTTTTTTTAAACCTTTAATGTAACCAGGCCTCCTTTCAATTCATCTTCTCTAGGGTTTTTTTTTTTGGAGACCTCTGGAAGTCTCACCAATTTTTTTAAGCTGTGAAAGCATGAAAATCTTTGACAAAGGGTTGTCTTTATCTTAAGTGTTAAGATCTCATTGAGAAAGAGGTGTTCGAAATAAACGAACAAGCCTTTAAAAAAGCAGCCTAAAAGTCACCTCAGATATTCCAGAGGTGCCTCTCTCTCCACTTGCTCTCCAGCCAAGACAGGGCCTGGATTTCTAAATCCAGGAGAAAACAATAATTAACAGAAGTAAATAAATCTTGGCACGGTTCTTTAGACATCAGGAGGGTGTGGAGATCAGAAGAGGAGAAACCGATTTCCTCCTTTTCACTTCGTCACACTGTCCAGTGTCAGCTGCTCTAACCCCTCCACAAGGGCCAACGTTCAAGCAGGTACGGTTTTATGAGAATGACCACCTTGATTAGAGAGTTACCAGTGGTAAAATTCCATTCATAGTGATAATGGAACACTAAGTATTTATTATATTGATATACTTATTTATTTAATGAATATTTTCAGTTTTGGAAAAGAACATGTACGCAAAGGAAACGTCTCCAGAACAGAGCTCTTCACCAAACAGAGCATGTAACATTTACGGGTGCAGTGGTAGCTTCTTGGTTTCCACTCTTAGGGTGAATTTACTTTTTAAAAGCTAAATATCTGAGAGGCATTTCAACATGAATTTGCAAATTATTAAAAGAAATGCAGTGATTAGCTCTAGTGCTCTGTTTCTCCCCACCGTTTGTAGTTTATGAAGCCACACAAAGAGAGACCTACTGAGGCTACTGCAGAACCAAGGACATGGTGTACCGCTAGGAAACGCGTACTTGGATTTATTTTAAATTGTTCCAAGTCTACAATTTTTTGCTGTGAGGCAACGGGGGAAAAAACAGAAAGGCAACATATCAACCTTGTAAATGTTAGTGGCGACAGGGAACGGGAGGAAACTGAGCAGTATCACTCATCATTTCCCGAAGTATTTTAAAATGTGTCCTGTAAAAAGTAGTTGATCATAAATTTACTTATTCCCTCACTTAGGCAAATCGGAGTTACCCCATTCTCCAAGCAGGCAGCAGGCAGGGGCATAGCAAGGCCTCGTGTCCCTACATCCCCGCTTTGCCTAGCTAACGCCTTACGGATGCTGCGCAGATCCACCATGGAAAATAATTAACGACAGCAACAGCATTCCCCTCGGATCTGTTTCGTGCCAACTTAGCCTTTTTACACTTCACGCCGGTTTACTTCTACATCAATGAATAATGCTTTGCCACACAACACCTTGTATTTTCACAGCCCAGGCTCACAACTCCTCGCCGTGCCTCAGAAAACGACCTGCAAAACCCACGGGATGGTCGCTTTGGGTCAGGCAACAACCGGCAGTGACCTAACCTACCTGTCGCTGCTGGTACTGCTGCTGCTGCTGATGGAGTCGCTGCTGGAAGATCTGCTCCTGGATCCGCTGCCGCTGGGGGAGCGGGGGGGTCTGGACCGCTGGGCGGCCTGGACGCCTGGCTGGCCAGCCGCTGCGGGGACTGGGTCCTGGACTGGGACGAATGCGGCGACCGACTCCTGCTGTGCTGGTAATTCCTCTCCGGCCTTCTGCCTCGTACCTCCCGTGTAATATCATCCCTGTAGATATCCCTGTGTACCACACTGGGCAATGTAAACTGCTCCCGGGCCCTAGGTTCGTAACGGGGGTCGTGAGCATCAAAACGGTTTGGACTTCGACTGCGAGAAGTATAATAGAGCCCGTGTTGTAAAGTCCGCTCTCGAGGATCTCTATAGTAATCCTGATCGTAATGTCTCGTCCGATCAAATCCTCCCGTCCCCCGCTCATGGTGTCCATAGGCACTATGTTCATAAGCACGCTCCCTGTTATCTGAAGCCCTGCATTTAGGAAGGGGGAAAAATATTTCATCAGAGAGGGGCAAGCACAACTAAAAGCAAATCATGCAAACATTCACATCAGCACTGTACTTAATTTATGCCACTGCTTCTCCACTAAACAGCAATAACCTATCAAGCAAACACTGACAAACTTAAAAACATTTTACTTGACTCCGAAGTTACAAATCGTATACGATAAAGCTCAGCAATCATTTTGTTTTAATCATAGTATCGGGCTTTCATGACTAGCATCTTGCCTGCACAGGAAAAAAACGCTGCTTTCCAGTGCAGAATCCTCATTTAAGTTGTGTTTATTTTTTTTCTTTTAAATTCAGTAAACAAGAAAAACTTCACATTTGTGGACATCATCATTAACTCTTTTTTTTTTTCCTCCCTCCATTTTTGCTCAAGAGCTTCAAAAATTTTTCTGGAATTTGGTAATTACTGGAGCTCTTCTAATTACTCTTCTGCAAAAATGGCATCGCAAATTGGGCTGTAGCCATGAAAGCCTCCGTGCAAAGCATGACCCAGAGGTAAGAAGCTGCTTTCAAAAGGGGTAGCATAACCCACAGAGAAGACCCAGAAAATCAGGGGTTTTCTTGTTGCTGTTCTAAAATATTTCATTCTCTTAGAGGGAATTTTGCTTTTATCAGACTGCTACACTCGATTCTCATCAAAGCTGCATACCCTAAAGAAACATCTTGATTACTAATGTCAGAATACTTAAAACTGCAAGGATGCAGGCCCCCAAAAGATACTAAGACCTTACACAAGGACTATAAGTTGAATTTTTCAGTAGGTGTTTCTGTTTGTTGAGACTGCTATTGTTACTGCAATCACAGAATTTGTATCTTCACAAGCACGCTACTTTCAAGTAGCTAAGGTCCATTTTCTTTAAGTATTTCAAACATTTTTGTCAATTGAGAAAGGCTCTATGTTCCAAGAAAGTTAGTGTGATCTCTCAAATAAAGAGATAGTAAAACTGACAGATAAAGTTAAAAGAACATTACAAATAGTTTAGTAGTCTAATTTAGACAAGTACCAGGACGGTATGTCTAAGTTACATCCACAAAATGAAAGATCAAGAATGATTCCGTTGAATGTTTAAAAAACACTTGCGAAATTCTAAGTATGTCAGAGTAGTCAAAGTTAATTTAAAAATTTAATTATCCATCTTATGAAGGACATTTCAACCTTTTTTTTTCCTCAGCCTTCTCTCTCGGATTCTTCCTTCAGAATCAATTATTAGTCACTTCAGTCCCCTGAATCCTAATAACCCAATTCTGCCTTGTGCTTCCTCCTCCTCTCCTGCATCACAGGTCTGTCTTCTATCTAAAATGGCAGAAATACTTCAGGTATCTTTTATAAACTGACAATGGGAATCTTTTTCGATTAACATCTCAGGAAGTTCCTTCCATTCCTTCTCTAATGAATCACTAGATTCTTAATCCTCTATTCAGCCTGTGGTTAAATTATAACTCCTTTTCAAGCTCCCTACAGAGCTAGCTCATGTTTTGCCTGCATTTTTTCTCTCAAATTATATATAAGAAACTACCTAACCACTGCAACTTATATATCCGCTTGAAATTCATTGTTGCCTTTCTATTTTCATTATCTCTTGCTCGCAACAATGGCATTTTGAAAGATATTTCAGGATCTGGCACAGAAACCCGCCTCTGGTTTTTCCCCCCTTTTGAAGGACCAAGATCAACAATTGTATAAACGATTGCGTTTAGCATTCTACAAAGTGTTAATCAGTGAAAGCTGATTTAATGAGGTAAAAGAAAAAGCAGTATTTTCTAGAGGGTTACTGCTATATAGCTGACATAAAAGAACAAAGTCCTTATCCATGAAAAGGACACAGAAGACAGACAGAGGAGCTAGCAGAGCTGAAAATCTAATGGCTACAGTGCTTTTTTGATTTATCTATTAGTACTAAGTACTACTGGAGTTAGTGGAAAGAGAGGGTTTGACTTGGGTTAGGAGAGGGGCTAATATACACAGGGCAGGACATACCAACCTTTTCCAAGTGTGGAAACACGACCTATATTCCCAATTAAATCTAGGGAGAGAATTGTGAACATAACTTCCCCAATTTTGGCCCCTCTTACAGGGGTAATCCACGTTCTTAATGGGCAAGGGTGTCAAATGATATTTTAGATGAATCAACAAGAAAAAAAAAAAAATCTTAGTGACAAGACAAAAAAAAAATTCCACTGGAAGGAAGTAGTCCCAGACTGAAACCATAACTCTGAAACCCCCAGACTTCTTTCTTGCGACAGTAGGCACTTAAATAGATCCATTATTTTAATTTCCAGCCCTATGTCTGAATCAAGCAGCTGGTAGAAGATCACCCAATGCACGAGGGCACTCATCGCTGCTGGCCAGCAGGCATCCTCTAGCCGCCTTTGTAACCATCCAGCCCAGTCATTTTTCACTGGCGTATCCACAAACTGGTATTAGCACCACGTCCTTAAAACTAAGGTATATTTAATGTGGAGCAGCAAAGAGCTTTTTAAGAGACTAGATAGTAATCCACTCCCCATGGCTACTGGCGTCTTGACTGTATACCATCCAATAAATTCAAGGCAGTAGTTCTTATCCCAGCATTAACAAAAAACCACTATAATTTCCAAAATTTAGTAATGTCCATCATTTCTTTTTGCCAATACCATCAGAAAGAATAATCCCAATAACTTGGAAATGATGTAGATCCAAAATGGAAACATCACAAGCTGCCTTCGGTCTTCTCCATCCAAGCGTTATTTCCATGGCTAAGTGGTGTCTGTAGAATCCAAGGGGCTGCATCATTAAAGTCTACTAGGAATTTTGTGGTGACAATCCAATTAACATACCAACTGCGTATAGTGAGAACTGAGAACTAGGCATCAAGCTTTCACAGAATTTTAGGTTCTAGTATTCCGAAGATACTCCACAGAGAACTTCACCACATGTTGTAGAGTAAGATAGCTCCATCTGGCAGCAGGGATACATCCGAGCAAGGCCTTAATATTATCCAAGAAATGGAACCGTTACTTCTAGAAAAGAGTAACTCCAATATCGGTGCTGGCCAAAGGAAATCTTCCATCTTAAAACCACCTCATTTCAAGTGTAGATATCCAACCAGCTGCAGAAAACATCCTCTACGGATCCACAAGGTACCAGCCACTGGGATAGAAATCACTTCCGTTTCCAACCCAAAATAGGAAACATAGATAATTCCCAAAATTTTAAATCCATCTGGGGGCCCTAGATACGAGTTTGTGTTTCTCACCATATCAAATACAAAATACCTGCCTAGAGAAACCTTGGAACTTACCCATCAAGTCTCCGCTCATAACGTCCTTCCCGTGCATGAAGCGATGGTGGGGGGCCATAAGTGGGCCCCCCCCCACCTCCTCTGAACCCAGAAACCTCTCTACTACGAGATGCTATGGAAACTGTATCATCCAATCCCCGAGCAGCACTGGGAATGGTTCCTGGTTCATTATAATCCGTCCGTAGGTCTCTATCTCCCATTTTGTTGACAGAGTTGTGTGCTTTCTGCGCACTTTTGATGTCCACAAAATCCACAAACGCTGCCACTCCGCCTTCCGACCCCCTCTTGGGGAGTATTTTGACACTTTCGACACGTCCATATCTGGAAGAGAAGCAAAGCAGAACACGTATATTAGTGCTGGTGGAAAAAGACAGCGTTTGATGTAACATTGCCTCCTGCAAATTCAACGTCGGTTTCAAACCACACCCATACCGCAGCAAAACCGATCTCAAAGCACAGCAGAGGCTGGAAGACGCATTTTCAAAAAGAGGGGAAAAGCCATTTGAACTTTCCTTTGTTACATTCAGAACTCCTTTCTTTCGGTTAGCCTACCATGAGAGTGCCCTTTTTATAACAACAGAGCAACAGCAGCTGAAGAAATAGAAAGGTATTCGCAATTAGAGCAGCCCTTCTTCATTTTTAATCTGACGAGCAAGACATAATTAAAACAAAACCGTGTCACAACAAGTAAAAATAAAGACATCTCTGCAATTTTCTCAAGAAAAAAAACGACCTTGCCACAGCAATTCCACTACTCCGGTCTGTATTTAATCCATTCAACGCTAAACCAAGAGTCTTCATTCTGATCCTCGTTCCCATTTATTTACAACAGCCTCACAGGACACTTTTGAAGCGTGGCCGACGCCAGCACCCCTGGACTGGGGTGCTTCTGGGGTTCAACTTGACATGATGTAAAAATGCTTTCAAGCAACTTGCATCAACTCATAGCAGAAAGGATAAAAGGGGAAGAGTATGAACACAGCGAGATTTTAAAACAGCCAAGAACTGCAGGTCGCATTTCAGTTGGTCATTTCTCTCAGACAAGAGATTTTGAGCAAAACAGTGAAGCGCTTTTCCCGCAGTTGTTAATCCATGACAGAGAGAGGCAAAAAGCACATTTTTTGAATGCACTGACAAGCGGGAAAGGGACACACAAATAAAAGACTAATCAAGAAACATTTGTAAACTCTGTGAAGAATTATTGCAAAAGAAAATTCCATTCACAAAGGCAGCAGAATGCTGAACAGATGTATGCAGATCTTAAACAAGAAAAGATGTTTTCAGGTATACACCTAGGAAAAAGCTAATACAACTGCCTGTCTGAGGAGCAAATGCTGCCAGAACCTGCATCTGCCTCTGCTTTCTGCATGGCTTTCCATACACCTTAAAATTTCATCACTGTTTTTGGATGACTAATCCTCAAATACAATTTGAAAACCTGCCTCGCTGACTGCCAGCTTCTCATTCCAACCTGACCTACTATACTTTATATATAATCTGGTTTGGACTTGGATCTCATTTTTCTCTGGTTTATACTCCACTGAATACGGCGCACTGTCCATTAAGGAACACATGCACAAACAAGAGCATCTTTCACGTCAAAAAGCGCCTTGTTAGGCATAAAAAGGCAAGGCTGCATATGGGGAGACATTCTTGCCTCTAAGCTGTCCAGAGCAGAGCTTGCCACCTTCGTGCCCGTGGGTACAGCATGGTGGCATTAATTCTCGGGAGTTTCCTAACCTGTGATACCAAACTGATGCGCTCATTTTTTATTCTAATTAAAAACCGCGAGGAGCAAATAATGGCGAACAGTACTGCAGGAAAGATACTTCTCAAAGTTTGCACTCTTCTGAAGCTGGGTATGGTTATCTTTCCTTGAAGGCAGGATTTAGAAAGACCAAAAAAGTAGAGGATATGGTTAATAAAATCTGTGCAAGGAAAAAAAACCAGCCTAATTGGATGTAGCACACGTAAAGAGAGAAGGAACAGGAAAGGAAGCAGGAAGGAAAACAGGAAAGAGCCTATAATGAACATCACAAAAAATATGGAAAATAATTAGGTATCCTAGTTCGCATCACCCTGTAACATGCGTTTCAGTGCCGGTTCTCTACAGACAACAAAGGAAAGGTGTGTAGTAGGACACAGTGCGCTCACTCTCATGAGTGAGCTGAGTTTTTCTTCTAAATAATGTAGTTACAGGAGTGACTGGTCAGAACATGTACTTTCCATTCGCTCACTGTTTACACATCCAGTTTCTGGCAACACGAGCCCATACTTTGTCTACAGTCTTTGGGGGGGGAACAGTATCTTGGCACTACTCAAAAAACCTAAAATCCTAATTGACCTTCTGACTGCAGTCACCACAGCCTACTTCGTACGAAGTGCTGCCTGCCAGATACATCAGAAATGGGATCTGAAAGACTTCCTGCTCACCATCCTGACAATTATTTCCCAATTCTGAAATCGCAACACGTACGTGTTATTATAACATACACACAGACAGACATCAATTATTTTTCCTTTGCTGCAGAAGATCCAGAATGTGTTCAAATGTCCAAATATTCAAGCCAATGCTGTCCAAAAAGCACAGAAGATACAGAACATTGATGTAATATGCTTCCCATGTACCAACAAAATCACCCGGAAAACACACAACTCTTCCAGCCGGAGCTTAATTTTTATATTGGGAAAAGTGTACTTTTTTTGCCATGAATTAAAAAATTATTTTTTTTTTCCCTAAGTAAGAAATGGATGGGGGAGGCTGCTACTGTGTTCCACCGCAGCCACGGTCCTAAATCACCCCACTCGGAGACGGCACGTTTTAATCCATCCGTTATCCAGACACATAAATATACGCAGTGCTGTGGTGCCCTGCACCGTACCCTTGACGAGCCCCAAGGATAATCTGTGACAATCGTCTTTGCCGAAAGCGAGGGAGGCCGAGGCGGGGGAGGAGAAAGGGAGCAGAAGCCGAGGGGATGAAAGAAAACTGAGAAGGAGAGAGCCCTGAGTATTCAAGGACAGCTGCTGGAAGAGGAAGGTTTGCATTTTCCTTGCCCCAACGTGGTCCTGTGATTACACACATCCTTCGGTCCCCCACCGTGAAGATTAATCTGTCTAGTGATCCGACCCAGCCCCACCCATTGGCGTCTCTCCGAGCTGCTCCCGTCTTGGCAGATGCTGCTGGGAGGAGGACCGCAGCAAGGGGAGAGGAGGGGAGATCTGCAGTGCTGCATCACCGGACAGGTTTACTGCAGCAGAATAATACATTACGAGAAAAAAAAACACAACACTTTCCGGAGGGCCAGGGGAGGAAAGGCAGTGGTAACGCCGCATTTCGTTACGCAGATCACAAGTTAAGGCAAGATGGAGGCGAATGCGCTCCGAGGAGCAACCTTTGTCCAGGTGCGAGGGCTGGGAAGAGGGGACAAAAGACAAGGGGAGGCATCACCGCGACCTTTGGTAACGTTCACAGAGCGGCTCCTCTCAACCTTCGCCTCCTATCTTTATACCTGTGTGTCAGCCTTTCCAAGAAGGCTGCATTTTGCAATCGCTGGCAGACTGAACAGAAAACAAAGAGGTGCATTCGCTCGGCTCCGAATCCGCAGACCCTAACGAAAACAAGGCTTTTTAGTGTCTCTTCCCGTCTGCAACTCATGCCGATTGATTAATCATTAGCTCCATACTGTAACGAAGGCAGCCGAGGCCCTATTTTCAGCGGAGTTTACAGTTCAACCAGAAGCAGAGGAACGGAGGACGTGCGAGAGCTGTTGTGTTACCAAGCCCCTCCACCAGCACAGCACGATCGTAGCACCCAGCTGTAAACACAAATCTAGCAGCCCTTTCAGAAAAAAAAAAAAGTTGCTCAATAATCACCGCTCGAACAAAGCCACGTTAATCCAGCTTTTCAGACAAAGAAAAGGAATTCATAATTTAAGCATTATCGGTTTATTCACTGTAGATCAAAGCACCTCTATATTCAAAGCAGCTGAAATGTCTATGGGCTCTTGGCATGGCTGCTCAGCATGTTTCCCTCACTCTCCGGCCCTTCCTCCTCCTCCTCAGCTCTTCCTCCCAGACCAGCAGACAGCACGGTCGGGTTGGGAAACGCAGCCTCTGCCAATGCAAGGCTGGTTCCTCCTCCCCAGGGACGACGTGTCACCCAGACACAGCCGAAGTCGTCCCTCAGCCCACAACTTTCCCCACACGAGGCTATCGGCACCCTCGCCTTTCCATTTCTAATTAACCATTTCATCTCGGGTGCTTACTCCAAACACTCATGTTTCTGCAGTCTCTGCTACTCCCAGGCATAAAGCGTTTTAAACAAAGGATGGACTACAAGAAAGCCAGCCAGCAAATATTTAGTAAGCAAATGTTACCCTTTAGCTGCAATATTTTATAAATGGATTAGGATCTTTACAGGATGATATATACACAATAGGAAAAGGTAGGTCAAAATCAGGGAGATTTGCTTTTTTAAATTTAAATTGAATCCCACTTCAAATCATATTACCCCCCTATTTCTCACGTTGAGCTCCCCCCGAGCTTGTGAAGATCTTTTACACCCAACCATTGTCATTACTGCAGAATTCTGCAGGTCAGCGACATCCCGGCCTAAAAAACATCACTGTATTTTTATTTAGAAGCTGGCACAACGCTACACTCCAGGTACTACTAAATGCAAGATGCACTGCAAGATCAAAAATAACACAGGAGTTCTTTTGCGCTTGTTTCTGCACCGCTCATTTAGAGCATGACTTGACAAGACGGCCTGATACAGCAGGACACCTGAATATTTTGGGTTCACCTGGATTCACTTTGATTAAAGCCAGATATCTTTAGCCATCTGAAAAGCACGGATGATTTTTCCTCCATTATTACATAAGCCAGGCAAGCCCCAGCCTGCATTATTCAGTAAAACGCTCGCACAGCTTGAAGCTTTTCTTGGCCAATCGCATTCCTCTTGCTTTGTTGTTATTTCATAACAAAATAATGTGACCCGAAATAATACTTATCCAGATGTCTGCGCCTCTGCTCCTTATTCCTAACTCCAAATCAGTCCAAACGCCCCATGCCAGGGGCTACTCTAGTGCCGGATTTCCCCCTGCACAAAGCAGATCTGCTCCAGGCACAGGGAAGTGCAAGATGTGCCAATACTAAAGCTGCCCAAAAGCAGGTTGCCGTCACCAGCTCCCTAGGGGTTTTTAGCCAGGCTGCTGACGTCCGTTGACCTCCATTAACATCAGTTCTAGGGTCTTCTGCCATCATGGACACTCATGTCACAGTCTAAGAACATGGCCCACCGCAATAGCACGTGCGTC